TCCCCCCCCCCCAGGGGCACCCCCACCAACGCGGAGCCCCCGTCCCGAGCCGCGGCTGGGATCTTATCCTTGCCGAATCGCGTCACGCATCGACCGCGACAGACATAAACTCGCCCCTGGGAAAACTGACCTCCTGCTCCCATGCCCGCTTCACCTCAGCCTCACTCGCCTCCGCCACCGCCACCACCCACTCACCTCAAATAAAACGTTTGCAACCGACCGACATGTAGGCTGTTGCACGAGTCACCCACTCCACTTCCCTCTACCACGTTCCCTTCCCTTCCCTTCCCTTCCCGCCGCACCCGAACGTAACCTACATACCCTGCCCCGTCCCATCCCGTCCAATACCACCATCATACACCATCCCATCCCATCCGGTCCTATCCCGCCCTATGCCACCCCATCCCATCCCACCTCGAGGTAGGCGTCCATGTTGAGTAGCAGCGCCTGGGGCGAGAGCGAGATGAGGCTGTTGACACACGTCAGGGCCATCACTCGGAAGGAGTCCTTGGGGTGCGAGAAGAGCGCCAGCAGCATCGGCACCAGCTGGTTCAGCGGCCTCCCCAGCTCCTCCGACTCCAGCTCTCTCGCCGAGTCCTCGCAGATCTGTCGCGGCCGCGGTCGCGTCATGTATTTATATAGTCGGGTTGGCGAGCGGCATAGTACCTTCGATCGGATCGCCTTCGCGAGGACATTCGTCTACGAAGGGTATCAAATAGAGAGGGGGCTTCGTATCCCAAACCTACCATAACCATAACTTTCGGCCTGGTCCCTTTTTGTCCTCACTCTTTTTATTTCATTTTCTCTTTCCTTACTGTTTACTTTATTTTCTTCTCTTTTTCTCTTGTTCTCTTTTCCTCTCTTCTGTGCCAGATGGCCTTGTCTCTGCTTGCGTTGTGAAGTACCAAGATTGAACCAAGGGGGTGTACCTCATTCTCTCCGGCCCGTGATGGTAACCCCTAGTCTCAGTTGTTACCTCGCATAGCGCGCAGAGGGAGTGGAGGACTCCAGAATATCTGTCGTTGATTTCTATTGACTTGCGGACCCCTCGGGGCCATTTTATTTGAGTGTACCTTTTAAGGGTAAGTTAGCCTGCGACCACGGGAATCGACTGCGTCGAGTGTTGGATCAGTACCGACATACGAAGGTACTGGGTAGAGGGAGATCGGAACGGTTTTTAATGTGAAGAAAACAACAACAACAACAACAACAACAATAACCCCCACACCCGTGACCCCTCTACTAAAACCAAACTTGAGATCTTCGCGAAGGCCAACACTACATAAATCGAGGTGCGGACTACGGCGGGGCGTATGCTGCTGCTCCCTATCGTAGGTAACGCAAGCTCCAATTTCTCCACAGCGGAAAGGGTGGCGAGCGGCCTCGAAACCGTCTCGTTTGAGAGCGTCCCGAAAACGTATCGTTTGAGCTATGCATTATCTTCGTCATGGAGTTATGGAGCCGTGAAAACAAAAACGAAACACGCTGAACACAACGCGCCGAGCACACGCAACACTCCCCATGATGCCCCCATACGGGGGCATACATCAGTTAGCCAATAGTCGAAGCAGCACTTTTATGCTTTCAGCCGCACTGAGACGAGACGTGCTTTCATTGGTCAGCCTTGATAGCGCAGTCCATATCAACAAAAAGAGACACACCCAACCGTAGGTCACATGACGCGAGATACCACACTCCCCTCACCAATTTCAAAGCTCGAGTACTCCACGACGAAAATGACGTACTCCCAAAGCAAACGACATGTTGTCGGGAAGCTATCGACGAGCCGGTTCCAATGCCGCCACCCAACACTCTTGTTTGCTCTGGAGTAGTCGATCCTTGGCAAGCTTGCCTTGTTAAGCGGGTGGGTGGGTGGGTGGGGGGTATCTTGCGTCACCGAAACGGCGGTACAGTACATGCACGCACCTTTACCAAGGTGTTTAAGGCGCCGTCGCCAAGTCCCGGGTCCTCGCTCTCCAGCATGCCCACCAGCGCCGGGAGCAGTTCGGGCCACTCCGACAGCCGCGTCGAGCTGACGACGGTCGTCACCACAGACCCGGCCGTGTGCCTGAGAACTTGCGACGGATCCCTCGCGCCCAGCAGCACCCTCTCGCGGATGATGGCTTGCGCCTGGGGCTCCAAGCTCTGTTGTTGTTGTGCGGGGTTCCGTGCACGGGAGGGAGGCACCGGGAGACGTGTAGTCGTGTGCGTGTGCGTGTGCGTGTGGCGATTTGATTCAGGTGCAAAAGTGGTGCTAGCAAGGCACCAGCGGTAGCGGTGGCAGAGAGACAACGGGCGCATCTGAACAGGGGGTGAGCACACTCGACAAAGCGACAGCGTTAGGAGTTGATCGAAACCCTCCCTCTCGAAAATCAAATACGACCGACCCGGTCTTCTTCGGGATATCTCCTTGCTGCCTCAACTGCTTCGTCACTCCAGCAGCACATAAGGTAGTAGTAGTTGCAGTCGTTGTTGCAACAGCAGCAGCAGAGACGACAAACAATATTAGGCTAGGCGAGTAAGCACGCGAGCGAGCACCAAGGAAACTAACACCAGCACCGCTTGCAGCGCAGCGCTACCAGCAGCAGCCAGTAGCCAGCCCACCTTAAAGGTGGTCTTGACGAGGTTCTTGAGCACCAGCCCCGCGAGCTGTCTCAACCTCTCGTCCACCTGCAGGACGATCGGCCGCCGTCGAAGCAGGCAGGCAAGACACAGTTCGCGTGGCCCCCAAGAAACGAGGCGATTGAATCACGTTTGGTTGGGCCGACGAGAGGGAGCCACGCACAACGCGTAAACCAACGTGACAAGTTGAGAGGGTAGAAAACATGCTTGTGTTGCGCCACAGCAGTACCTCGATGCGTGCTCGTGTCTTCAGCGTCTAAAGACACCAACTTGGGGGTTTCTGCCTTCCGCACCCCCCCCCCCCCCCCCCCCCCCCCCCCCCCCCCCCCCCCCCCCCCCCCCCCCCCCCCCCCCCCCCCCCCCNAAAGACAAGGGTAGCACGTGTGTATTTCGATTTCCCCAAGACTATTTACCACGTGTGTGTGCAGTACTACAGGAGTATCTTGCACCATACCTGCGCCGACGGGTACGGACAGGCCATCATATGCGAGAGGTACAGGCCGAACTGCGGGTTCGCTTGGAAGATCGCGAGTTGCTGTTGGTTGTTTCCGTTCGTCGTCGTCGTCGTCGCCATTGTTGTCGTGGAAGGGAACCGTTGCAGTCACGGATATTCCAGTCGTCGTCACCGTGGCCGTCGTTTGAATTTGTTGGTGACGGGCACAAGGGAGAACGATCGGGGAAAGTCAGTCGGTCGATGCGCTCATCGGATAACAGACCAGTATTTGGGGTCTTCCAAGACGAATCACAGAAAAAAAAACGTGAATGCCATAAAAACTGCGGCACGGCATCAGCAAACCCATCAATCAGGGAACACAACACCGTGCGTACAGGCTTCGGAAAATTCCGAGAAAGTTCGGAACTACCGCAACGTATGTGTACGGCGCAAAAACCAGCACCAGCATCTCAACACAAACAGCGGCGGCAGAGAACATATGGCAAGCGCGAGAAAGCAACGACAACGACAACAGCAACAGAAGAGAGCAACAACAACGAACCTGCTGCGCCTGAGCATGCTGATCCGCCTGCGCCGGGTTGTTGAGAACGCTCAGCAGCTGCACAATCTCGTCGACAGCCTTGGGGGTGACGGGAAAACATACGAAACGACACGATGGCATAGGATCGGATCGGATGGGATAAGGACAACGAAACGATAGGGCGGAAGGGGGGGGAGGGAAGGAAGTGGAAGCGCAGATAAAGGACGGATGAAAAAAGGATGGAAGCGCAAGAGGTGCAGGCAGGGCCATCAAGCTGTAGGGATTCCTACACGAGTTGATGGAAGGTGCAATTACAACACAGTAAGAGAGGGGGAGAGGGAGAGGGAGAGAGAGATATCGAAAGGTGATGATCTTCGAAGGAAGAGCGATAGCCGTCTTCGCCCCCGTGACAACTTGAAAACAAAGCCACCACATCTCTGGCCGACCTTTCCTCTGAGCCACTCCGTTCACAGCCATCGCACGCATGTCAGTGTGTAATTTTGCTCAAAGGGTCAAGAGTTGCCACGATCTCGTCGAGTCAACTTGGTGGGAGATTCGACAGAGCACGCGCACGTTGCCTTAGCACCGATGCTCGCCAAGCGCCAAGTGTACTGTTACCCTCTTGCAGCCGACAACGACGGGTTGCCTCCCTCACAGCCGATTTCTCTCGACTAGATCGCGAAGCGGGGAGTGCTCCGTCGCCGAGTGATGTGAAAATCAGAAGCAGAGCTGAAAAATGCAGCCGGTTGGATGGCTGGAACATTCGGACGTGTTCGATGTCAAGAGAGAGAGAGAGAGAGGGAGGGATAGAGAGAGAGTACGCTATTCCCGAGCACTCTCGTCTACAGTCTGTACGCTCTGTCGTGGAAGCGTGGGGACGCTGTGCCGTTGCAGGCCGGAAGAGGGTAAAAGCCACAACAACGGCCCTCGTAAGGAGCAACGCCTTCGGGCCACAAAAAGCCGGAAATACACACGGCACTCGCTCGTTACGGCAGCGACAACAACAGTAACAATACCCCCGCTCCTTTCCTCATTCTATCGGTGGCAGACATCGTTCCCAACTGCCTTGGTGTACGTACATCACGTGTTGTTGCTTACCGTTCTCGTCAGGCAGTCCTGCAAGGCTCAGCAGGGCCGAGCGGTGGGCACAGGACCAATATTCGGCAAAAGGAACGCTCGGGGTGACAACAACCGCCCTGGGCTTGTGTGTGAATCTATCGACGAAATACGCTTAGGCACGACAAGCGTGTACTTCGACAACGCCTGTCCGAAGGGTAAGGGGAAGAGACGAGTGGAGCCGGGGGGCCAAAAGACACACATTTTCTCACGCAGCGGGTGTGCCCCCCCGCGTGTGTGATGTCTGTCTGCATACAAGACGCGCACCCGTGGGCAAAATCCGGATACACAGCACGCAGCAGGAAGGACACTTGGAGGAAAGTATTTGCATGTCCTTTTCCACGGCTCGGTGTCTGCGGGCATGTTTAGTTGCAACACACGTCGCAAGTATTAGACAAGGTCACGGAAAGAGATGGTATCACGACATGCGTGCTCCGCCTCCCCCCCCTCCGTCCAATAGCACGGCGGGTGGAAATATGTCCTTCCCTTCTGATTTTCGGCTACTTGGAGCCCCTCATCTGTTTCCCGCCGTTCGCAGATTTTCTCTCTGCCCTCATGGCTTTTGCCTGTCTGACAAGCTCCGATCCAAGGTCGCAGAGAGTAGCTTTCTCCTGTAGTCTCCGAAGGTGTTTTATATTCAGTCGTCCTTGCCTCAGGTGCACTACCCAAAACGCGCTCCAACGACCAAGCACCGATACGAGATGCGGGAAAACGCATCAATAATATTTGTAGATATATGCATACAAGTAGGTGACAAGTAAGGGGGATTCGGATGCTCCAAAAACTTTTCGTCCGGATGATGCGATGGGGTCGCAATTTTAGAGAGATAGTGAACCTGCAGCAGTAGACCCACCGGGTCGACCGGCAGCCTACAAAAACCGGCTTTGTGTCATTTCGCTAGCCTACGAAACTTCTCTGCAGTCCGGTGTCTGTTCACCAAACTGCAGCCAGAGGAGCAGCAATGCATAATAGGCCCCGGCAAGCAGCAGCGGCGGCGGCGGCGGCGGCAGCGGCGGAATTTCCATGGGTCCTCCCTTCCCGTGATATTCTTACCATTTGTCAAGAATCTGCTACTACTGCTGTGGTGACAGCCTGGCCTGCGCATCCGCGCAAAGGGAATATGCCAACCAAAGCTCGAAGACACGAGGTCGCCGACACCGAAAGCTTCGGCGGCGACGCTTGGCAAGACACACTCACCCCCTGCTATCTAGCAATACATACGGACAGAGGCGTTTGCTGCTGCTGTTGATAGGTGTCGCATGGGCATGCATGTGTACGTATGATTGCACATGCTCGTGGTCTGCAGATCCTCTCTTCCAGCAGCATGGAACATGGACATATCATGCCCGTGGTCTACAGACAACAAGAAAGAGTAATGCACGCACAAGAGGCAAGGAGCGCTGGGAATCACGGGGCATGTCATATGGGAACCTCTCCCTTCTTGCGTTAAGCGCACGAGGCCCTCACATGCATGCAAATACATCCACACCAGGATAGCAGCCTTGGTTGACATGCAGTTCTCCTCTGTTGCTACCGTTCCTGTCCTAAATCCGGAGAATAGCTCAGCCTTCCCCATGCCGCCCCTTCACGGGGTCCCAGTGAACGGCGTTTACAAGTGTTCTGCGTTTTTCAACCGCACGGAGACTTCACGTCTTTTCATTGGTCAGCCGGTTGGCGCGGTCGACGCTTACACCAAAGATGCAGACAGGAGAGACTAGCTAGCTGTTGGGCGTACGACACGATGCCATCCTTCTTTTCTCTCGCACAACATAAAACGCAGCCTAACGTGATCAAGCCAAAACAGCCTCTCTCATCTGCGCATTTACTGCTGCTGCTGCTGCTGCTGCTGTGGCATAAAGGCGCCACTGAGAACAATTGCCATTTACCATTAACAATATGCATGCAAAACCACTCAAGTAGCTACACGCTGGAGGGAACGGAAGGTAGACCGTCAGGGTTGTGCAGTACTCGCCAACAACGCGCAAGATATCTCTTCTCTCTCTCGCTTGCTTCTGCAACACCAGGTATAATAGGCGCCGGGAGTTGTAACCCCCCCCCAATCAGAGGGAGCTTGAAGCAGACCGGGTGGGTCCTGGCTCTGACCATAAGAACGCTTGTCTCGAAAGTAATGCATCTGCTTGTTCGACGCTACGCATCGAACAGACCGTGATAATGTAGTGTTCCGCGTGGTCGGATGTCCATGGTGTTCGTCGCGTGAGTTCCCGCAGTGCAATCTCGTTTGTGCATTAGACCACATTTGTGGTTTCCCCCCTCATGTCTCTCACTCTGCGTCTTCGTCGAAGGCATCCAATTTGTTAAGAGCCATAGTGCTGCAGTCTGAATGTAAAAGTAATAATAGTGCTACCTGTCAGGACGCAGTCAAGTAGTGCAGTGTCGTCTGTCGAGACCGGTTGTGCCAGTTTTCTCATTTTTGACACAGAAATTCCATCAACAAAACGTGTGGCGACACGTTGCAATGCAAGGCATTACTTTGACGATCAATCAGCACGACCAGAGGTGCGGGAGCGTGGCGTGTATCTGAACCAGGGACACAACCAACAGCAGCAGCAGTTTATCGTGGGGGTTTTTGGCACACTGTGGGCCACCTTCTGGTGATCGAAATGTCTCCACAAGGAAACACATGCCCCCGCGAATGAATGATGTTCGACGTCTACACAGCAGCGGCTGTCCCGAGCTGCACACAGAACATGGTACTGCATCGCGCTCGCAGTGCTTGGCTCTGGCTCACAACGGCAGCGTATTCATAAGGAACGCTGCTCTGCTCCAACGCCACTGGCAGCACCAGCCCTCAAGCAAAAAAAAAAAAAACTCGGGCTGCAAGGATAAGCTTACCTCTGGCTGTGGCGACCATGGAGCGGCCATTAACCCCTCCTCTTATGAAGCCCGCTTCCTGGTAAAAGTGCGCAGCGAAAAATGAACCTCTCAGGCAACGTCTCCCAAGATGAGAGCTTGTCCTCGCCAGCCTTGCCCAACCCGACCGGTCCAAAAGAAGCACGACCTAGAGAAAGAGAAATCACGCTCCTGGTGGTCGAAGCTCTCCGTCGAGCCTCAGCAGCGAGAGAGTGCGAGAAGGTCGAAGAGTGTCGACGGCGGTAGATGTGCTGGTAACAGGTGACATAGTGCACAGAAAGGGGCCCGTCAGATAACACAGATATTGACCAAGGGCATCACCAAGGGCAGCCAAGGGGGGGAGACCCTATTTGCAGGATGGTCCTGCAACGAAATGCTGCAGGATGGAAAACGCCTCCAGAACCAACCCACCACAAACCCAGAACCAAGCAGCGAACCAAGACACACAGAAACACAAACAGTGAGACACCGACACCTGCTCCACAGACCACGACAGACCACACAGGAGATCCCTCATGGATATTATCGGGAGGAAGCTGCCCTTGGGTGGAGATGACGACCTGCTTTCGGACAGCAGCAGCGTCGTCGAAGTAGAGGGCGGCGCGGACGATTCCACGAGGCAGCAGTCAAGCACACAAGACCAGCAGCAGCAACAGGAAGCTAGAGCAGGGGAAGGAACAGCAGGAGATTCAGGAATAGCCCCAGAGCAAATGGTAAGGGATGAATGCAGGTCGGCGAAGCAGGAAGGATGCAGGTCGGCGTCTCGACCCTAAATGGAAGATCAGACGAGCACTTGACACGCGATACGCGCCCGACCGACCGCCCACACGCCAATAGCATAATCATTCCTTACGTCTTTGTTCTAACGTCAACAGCAGTCAAACGTAGGCAGTAAAGAGCAACAAAGAGAAGCTTTGAGAGCAGCAGGAGCAGCAGGGCGCGATAACTCAACAGGAGATGTTCCGGGGGATGCCCAGGGAGGGGATGCAGTGAGGATCAACACAGAAGCAGATCGAAAAACAAATAGTTTTTCAAGTTTTGTTGGCATACGTGGGGCCGCATACGTGTACCAGGATGCACGTACTA